TCGGGGTCCTTTGAGGAAGAGCAGGCCTGTGGTCTCCTGTTGCCTGTAGCAGTATGGGGTCCCCTCGGCCCCCCATGTGCTTCTGTCCTGGCCCCGCTGCCCACGGTATCAGGCTGTTGATGTCACCAAGAGCTGCAGTCTTGACCTGAGCGTCCAGGTCACCTGGTGGAATGGGAACAAGGTGGCTTACCCAAGGGCGTCCCCAGCTTGTCAGGCTCGGCCCCACGCCCCTTCCTGAGGCGGGCTGCAGCGGCCTTTCCTCACTCTAGGTACCTCTGATGCGGGGACTTGGGTGGGCCCAGCAAGGTCTGAGAGCTCTGATGGGGCCTCCACCCGCAGCAAGCGGCTTGGCCGGCAGGGTGCACGTCGGGGTGGTGGCCTTCCTCACACCACATGCTCCTACCCCCAGGACAAGCGGATGGGACCTACCTGGCTCTTGTCTGCTCTGGGAATCTCACAACAGCCTTGGAAATGTCAGTAGGAGAGGGGAGAACTGGAGCGCAGGACGCAGGACAGTCACGGGGAGGACATGCTCCCTTGCCATCCTCCTGCAGTCGCCTCTCCCAGCCACCTCCTCGTCCCAGGTTCCCCACCCTCTCCTGCCCCTGGGCAGGTGACTCCAGTTCATTCCTGTTCTAGCCCAGCTTCTCCCAGGGACTTGTGGGCCACTTGGAACCCTTTAGAAAATAGCCACCTGGATCCCCCCAGCACTGGCCTAGCTGTTTTCACGATAAGGCCAGACGTTATATGCACTCATAAAACTAAGTAATCACAGAACCCAAAATAATTAAGAATAATTGCAACTAATGGCTTCTTTAAAGAATAAATTTAAATTAACAGCAATATTTCATCATGACGGATAATGAAGCAAAATCACTGCGGTGCTGTAAAGGTCGCCCTGGCCGAGCAGCCACCCATGTCCTGCGGTGACCCTCGTCCTGCGGCCACCCACGTCCTGCGTTCTTGAGTGAAGTCATTTTCTTCTGTGCAGCCTGCAGTGCCAGGGTGGGCCCCACCGGGTCACAGAGTGGATTGCTCATGTACCAGTCTCCCCCTGTACTTCCCCCTTGGCACCACGTGAGACCTCTGAAGTCACCAACGCCCGCTTGGGCAGTGGAGTCCAGTAGCTGCTCACTTTTTGGACAGCCATTAAGAAGAGCTCTCTGCAGGGTGAATGCCCCCTGGAGAAGCTCGGTGCCCCTGAGAAGGTCCGGGCCCAGAGCTGCTCAGACGAACAGGCACTCAGGTCACCTGGGGCCTTGTTGAACTCAGGGTGGCCCTGCTGCTCTGGGCTGCAGACAGACATCTAGTGGGCTTCAGGTGAGGCCAGTGCTGCCCGTCCAAGTGGCCACTCTGAGTGGGAACTTTGACACTGGGTTCCATCAGGCCACCTTAGAATCTGCCCTCCTGGCGGCTGGCAGAGGGGTCTTGATGCCTGTCAGGTGACCTCCACCATCTCCTGCTCTAACCTCAGCTCCCCTCCGGGGCCAGGCAGGAGGTGTGCGGGAGGAGGCCAGCTGGTCTGAGGGAAAGGAAGAGCTGTGACTTGGAAACCGAGGAGCCTGGCCTCTGCCACTGCCGCCTGGCAGCTGGTGGCGCGCCCAGCAGGGAATCCTCCCCGGGGGTCCAGGCGCTGCCGCTGCTCCGAACGCTAAGACGCACTGAGGGGCAGGGGTGCCCCCACTGACACCCGCGACGCTGGGCCCGAGGTCCCAGGTGAGCCCGTGTACAGCCAGTCTGCAGACTCCTTGGGACCGACCTGTGTCAGGGACCAAAGCTGTGGGATCTGTAGGCAGGGTTTTAACCCCAGAGCCATTGTGCATAGGTCCCACCACTCTTGCCGTGGGGAGGTTGTTGGTGCCCCACTCCCCTGTCCAGCAGCCCTGGCCTTCTCCAGGGTCCAGCAGCCCTGGCCACCCCATTCCTGGAACTTTCTGGTAGGGTTGAGATTTGCCTCTAGCAGTGCTCATCATGTTCTCTGAGACCCCAAGACCCTTCCCATGGGGCTCCCTGGGCGTCTCTTAGCATGCGGAAGCCCCCACCTCTAGAGCCGCAGACCACATATGCTACGTATGTCTGTATTTAGTGGGTGCTGGGGACGGAACCCAGGGGCACTTAACCACTGAGCTGCAGCCGCAGCCCTTCTTATTTTTTACTTGGAGACAGAGTCTTGGTAATCGCTAAGGGTCTCACTAGGTTGCCCTTGCAGGCCTCCTGCCTCAGCCTCCCCAGTCACTGGACCTGCAGGCCTGTACACCCAGCCCCAGCCCCAGCCCCAGCGGGTATTTCTGCACTTTTTCACCTTGGAGTGGCACTTCTGCTCTCTCACTCAAGCTTACATGACACTCAGGAGGAGGGAACCGTGAGAGATGTGGGCTCCCCAGGTCTACCTGAAGGGGACCCCCTGGCCAGGAACGTTCCCTGGGAGTCTCTTGGGTGCTGAACACCTGTAGGCTGGAGTCTCATTGTCCTCTCAGGAAGGGCCAGTGGCCTTGGTGCCTGCATGGGGGATCCCAAGCACCAGCCCCTGTGCGTGTGCCTCGCCAGAGGAGCCAGGGGAATACACACGGGTTCCAGTCACTGCCTGTAAGCAGGATCTAGCCACCCAGTGCAGAGGGCGGTGTCCGGGACTGCCTGCCACCTCCCCGTGGTAACAAGCTTCTCTGCCTCCTTTGGCTCAGAAACCGCAAGTTGAACGGTGTTGCCATCCCTGACCCTGTTGCTTATGAAGGACCAGACAGAGATGCCAGGGGTGCTCAGGCCACCTGCCCCAGCCCTGCTCAGCCATGGCTGGAGGCGGAGAGCAGGGCAGCCCAGGGACTCAGTCTCTTCAGCAGTCTTTGGTGGGGGTCGTTGTAATAAAGCCACAGGGGCCCAAGACTGGAGGGCAGAAATACGGCTTCTGAACCTTTCTAGAGGCCCACAGACAGCTACAGCGTCCCCATAGCTCGCAGGACCCAACCGTCTCCTCCATATGAACCGTAGAGTCCATCAAGCCCTCAAGGTTGGCTTTTCCTTCACTCAGACAGTGTTTTCTGCCATGGGAGCAAATCAGCCTCATTCTGTTCTCCAAGAAGCTATGACATCACCCCTCCATGCCTCCTAATTGGGCTCTTTCCCTTTCTTCCTTAATAAATAAGTCTTGTGGCCTTCATTGGTGGAAGGATAATTACGAGTGCAGGATTTGCCCCAAGCCGGCCGAGCGAGTTGTGTGAGTCCATCAGCCCCAGGGGTGTGCGCTATGGCTGCGTTTGTCAGTGGGAAGGGACAAAGCCTTCTGAAGCCCGGAGCAGCTCTAATCTTCCAGTGACACCACAGTGACCCCCAGCCCCTGGTATTGTTGGAATTCCATCTGAAACGGATGATGGAAAAATATGAGCCCACAGGAGAACTTGGGAGAGGTTTCGTTATGCTAAGTGCAGAGCTGGTAGGATCCCCGGGGAGGGACGCGCAGTGGTTTGAAGCCATGGCTTATGTATTACTGCTTGGCTGGCAGTCACTGTCCCTCTCCCACTAATTGGTACCATGCAATGAAGCTTTTATTGCTTTGGTTTGTAGCTCGTAACATTTTCCTCTGGACTGGTTCATCGGGTGGGTCGGTACCAAGCTTGGTTTGGATGGGTTGATGCTCCCAAAAACCAAGGGACACCATATTTTGCTGCATATTTTCTTTAAATAGTAAGAACTTACAAGGAAATAATTTTCCAAAGATTCCTTGATAAGTTGTTTCAAGTTTTGAAATGTTTCCCTCTGGCAACAGCATTTAATAGCGATAAGAACCCCAAGCTGGCTTTTAATCCTTTGTACTTATGGAACTCGGTTATGTTATGATTTGAATAAATAAAACACAGTATTGCCATAATGCTGGTAATTAATTGAAACTTGAGCTTAATTATATCTAAAGGCAGGCTTGTCTAATTCTGTCTCGCGTGGCCATTCTTAAGAGAGGCCAATAAAACTTCCAGAGGAGGCCCTCGGTGCCCCTGCTGCCCCAAGGTGTCTGAGTGCGTCTCAGAACCTGTAGCCTTCCTTCCTGCTCTGTCTGGGTGAGTCACCTGGCATCAGCCTTGTGCTTTCCGATCGCGGTGATCGTGTGGTTTATAAACAGCAAGAGGAAGAGCACGGAGAATCTTCCGTCATCCTCAGTGTGCAGGGGCAGGAGTGAGAAGATCGTCATCTTCTAAAAGGGACAGACAGAGTCAGGATGTGAACGCTGGAGTTGAAATGGACAGAGCTGGGCAGGCAGGAAGCCCTGACTGGGAGGGCAGAGCCTGAGCCCTGCTCAGCCTTGACTCCTGCTTTCCTAATCCAGGAAAGCCTGTGAACTCGGGGGAGGTGGGGCTCCTAGTTAAAATAGGAATGTATATGAGTCAGTCATTCATGAAAGACTGGGTTAAATGTGGCTTTAAAGATGGGTCGATTTCAAATTCCGAATGGTTTTCCAGAAGCCCTAATGTGATTTCATTAAAGATGGATTTGAAAATTACACACAGTTCATCCATAAAGTGTCATCACTAAAGTTGGCAAGTAGAACTTCAGTTTTAATAAGCTAAAATTCTGAAATGAAAGGAACTACGAAATGAAATGTCCTTATTTACAAATATAAGGTAAGTATACAGTTCATTGGTTATTTTTCAAAAAGGAAGTTTGGGTTTCTGTCTTCAAAACACTGTTCCTTTAGGTGTTTCCTGTGCTTTTATGACTTGTTATTTGAACAGTGTAGCTGTGTCAGGATGTTTTGTATTATTTGTTGAGCTGAGGGTGGGTCTTTAGCATTTACCTATCCCACAAAGCCAAGTTCTTTATACAGACACACAAAGAAATTTGAAAGTATGCTATATGTTTTGTACATAAAAAGGAAAAAAGCAAATTCAATCCAAAATTGAGCATAATTTCCTTTGTAAATTGGCAAAGACACAAAGAATGTTTAAAATTACTTCTGCACTGACTTCTCATTCCATTCCCATGAAGCTGACTGTTTGGCTCCTTTTTCCTTCCAGGGCATGCTCTTAAAGCGAAGTGGCAAGTCACTGAACAAGGAGTGGAAGAAGAAATACGTCACCCTGTGTGACAACGGCGTGCTGACCTATCATCCAAGTCTGCATGTGAGTTCAGCCCTGGGAGCAGCCAGCAGGGGCAGGCCTCAGCTGAGCATGGGGGGCAGGGCCTAAGAGCAGGCAGCCACTCACCTCTGAGGTTCAAGGGGTAGCTGGTCTCCTGGTCAGTCATGAGATGAATGGCACTGTCCTCACACTCTGCTGGGCCAGGGGTCTGTCCCTCGCCTCCCTCCCTAGCTCTCTCATCCTACAGAGATGAAGTAAAATTGTAAATGATGTAGAAAGTCAGGAGCAAGTAGTGAAAGAGAATAAGAAGGCACCTATAGGAAAATCGATAATGAAGGACGCAATCCCATTTGAACCTAAAATTCAGCTCTGAATGTCTAAGAACAAAAACAGGAAGTTAAATGCAATTCATGGCTCAGTGTTTGTTGTCAAATAACACATGCCCATTTGTAAGACAGGAGAAACGTCCCTGGGTGTTAAGAAAATTTATTATTATTAGGCTAAAATAATTTATATTAGATTAAGAAACAACTAGTCTTGTTCTTGAGGGAAAATACAAAGCAAGCTTTGGTAAAATCCAAGTTTGGGGGTGTTCATTTTGTTTAACAATGCATCCCATGGCATTTGGCTTGAGGTAGAGAGATGTGAAGATTATAGTGTTAGTGGGTTGGGTCATTTGATTATATCACTATGTCAAGATGTTAGTGTTTAGAATTTGAAATAATTTCAAGACTTGCACAGTTGTTGGCAGGAAGTTAGAAATAAATATAATGAAAGAAAATTAAAATTATTCCTAAAGTAAAATACTCGTGGAGAACACAATTGCTGGCATTTTGAGGTACACCCTCGGCCTTTCCTGCACACGTGGGCCTGTGCTTCCACAGGCACAGCTCCTGCTTCCACACGTGTGTGGGCTCTGAGCTTCCACCCACATCTGGTCCGGTCATGTGCACCAATTTGTGTCCACAAATCCACTTGTACCCCACCATTTTCTGACTATGCAATGGTCCCTGTACAGCTGGACCCTAAGTGACTCAACAGTACCCCAAAGACAGGCATTTGACAAAGAAATTTACTTTGAATTTTTTCACTATTATAACTCTGATCAGTGTCCTGTGTCCCTCTGTCCTTGTCCACTGCCCTAGGATTGATTACTAGTAATCAGCGTCCTAAGCGGAAGAGTATGTGTTTGATCATGGCTTTTGGTGTATGTTGTCAGATTCCCAGAGACATTGCATCAGTTTATCTCCTCTGGCAAAATACAAGAGGCCTTTTCCCCTGCGCTATCAAGAACACTTGCCTTAAGTCTTCCCAGCACGCTTGCTAACAGATGGTATTCTTGTTGCTTAATTTGCTGCTGGTGTGAGTTGCCCTTTCCCCCGTGTTACAGCTATAACTACACCTTTCAGAACCATGTCAACAAAGCAGGTGTTTCTCGAGCCTCCTGGCTTGTTCACATGGTAATGGACATGCCTTGGTGCTTGGCTGGAAGTACACTTCTGAGGGTTGTGCAGGCAGGCTGCGGCGTGTGACGCTCTCCATGAGCGTCTCCAAGTGGACGCTGTTGTGAAGTTTGCCCATATTTAGCCCTCCCAGCCTTCACTCCAGTGCAGTACTCAGTAACTTGCCTGAGATGCTCAACACTTGATTTTGAAATGAGCTTGGTGTTGGATGATTCTGCTCAACTCTAGGTCGGTGTGAGTGTTCTTCGCACAATTAAGGTAGACCAGGCTAAGCCCGGTGCTTGGCAGGTGGAGGAATTAATACACTTTTCACCTGCATAATCTCATCTCAACAGTGGGCTTACTGGGACATAACCCACCTAAGTCGAGGAGCATCTAAACACAGGTATCTAGGAATGCATTAGTATACGATAGGTACAGATAATCCCATGGATAGACGGAATCAGATGGGTATATGGATGGATTCCTTTGTAGACCCACGCATTCTTTATTGTAGTGAGGACTTTTCTTCATGCTCCGTTTGCTCCTGTTTATCTGGAGTAGGCTGGTTCACCAGGTGGCCCCTCAATCAGAGACTGGGCACACCTGTTCCAAGAGGCCTCCCGGGGATAGGGCTCACACCTTTGCTGAGGCTGCCCCACGGAGGACTTTGCGGTTCCACAGCCCACTGTGTGCCCTGCTCCCATCCTTGAGGATGCGGGTTGTCTTCCTGGCTCCTCGCCCGGTGCTGCCCTGGCTGTAGGGAACCGCCCTGTTGAGGGCTTCGTTCTTCCGAGAGCAGAGTCTAATCCCGGGCCCCATGCATTATACGTGTGTTACAGCAAGAAGTGTAATCGGCACACTCTTCTTGGTGGAACTCCATGGCTGGAACATGAAATCGGATGGATAGTGGCCTCCTGCTGAGCACAGGCTTCATCAGAGGGAACCTGTGCAAAGCAGGTAGCTTGTGCATGTGGAAGCCAAGGCCCACGTGTGCTCCTTGCCAAGAGACAGGTGGTGACAACAGCAGGTTCCAGGAAACGCCTGTAGGAGGGCGACTTTTCACTCCAACCTCTTGATTAAATAATCCAAATCAGTTCTTCAAAAATTCTCCTGTGCCCAGACCTCTTCTTTTCCCTCGGTGTTGGCAGTTCCTTCTTCTCTCTCCTCCATAGGCATGTGTGAGTGTTGCTGGGGTGTGGGGGAGGCATGTATTGGCCTTTGGTGCATGATTGTGGTGCCAGTGCTGCTGTCATCTGCAAAAGCCACTGGCCTGGTGCCAGGGGAAACATGCGTCTGGGGCAGGCACATGCATAGTTCCCCAAGGTGGCGGCTTAGCCGCGGGGTGGATTTGTACTGAGTCTAGTATGATGGCAGCCTACAGCGTGACCCTTCGTTGACTTCATGTCCATCACCGTGCTTTCAATGATGGTTTGGAGGGCAGCAAGTTCTAGGTCACTCTCTATTAGGTGCCTGGAAGGGACTAGTTCTGTTCTGAGGTGTTGGGAGCCACAGGCCTGTAACCGCTGAGCTCATCGGGCATTCCTGGTTCAGTGGGAAGAGGGATTGAAGGAGATGTCTGGGGCAGAATCCAGACTCCCCTCAGTAAGAAACTGGGAGGTGCAGATGAGTTTCTGGTTCAAATGTTGAAGTTGCGTGCCGGCTGTTTCAAAAGGTGATCTTTCAGACACCATCCACACTGTGGCACCCATTTCCTAGGTTGTCTCCGAGATACCACATGGCAGAAAGGTCACTGAGGTGACTGAGAGAAAGATTCATTCAGTGGGTAGGAATTTTGATAATATATTGTCATCTGGAGCACTTCAGACTCTTAAGACTGTAACTCTGAAGTTTTGACCCAAAACTCTTAATAAACAGCAGCTTATGGGGTGAGTTGGGTTCCTGAGTTCCAGGCTGGGGCTAAGACAGGCCCAGAAAACCCATTTCAGTTTGTCCACGTTTCCCGGCTGGATGCTGTTATTAATTAAATGACTCTTAGAGCCAGTCTAGAGGGCCCCAGGTCACCCAGGACTAAGGGCTTCCCAGGCCTGGGACTTCCCTTGCTCAAAACATGCCCCAGGCAGTCCAGGACAGGTGGGCCACCCCGCTCCGGGACTGACCGGCTGAACTCGCCCCTGCATCTCTGCTGGATGTTCTGCATGCACCGTTCTAAGTATTTGAATAAAACTGAAATACTAAAGGCCAGCGTGTGGGTTTCTGTGGCTGGGTGCCTTGTGGTCTACATTTGGATTTACCTGAAAACAATTGATAGTCTCCAGGTTCTTTAAAAGCCCTGCCTGTCCAGCTTTCCTAGGGAGGGACCCGTGAGCGTCTTCTGGCTCTCAGACCCGTTGCTGGGTCATGGGGTGGGGGGGCTGTTCTGGAATCCTTAGATTCCCTTTCTGTGGACGGAAGTATGAGCCGTAGGGAGACCATGATGGAAAAATAGAGGGGATAATGAGAAAGAACTGAGAGCTCGGGGCGTCGCAGTCCAGCACAGCCACCTATTCATCTTCCGTGTCAGGGGAGCGGCCGTCGGGGGCACGGCCGGAACTCCTGCCTCAAGAGTCGTGTGCGGTGTGATTCCTAAGTGGACCTGTAAGAATGAGCTCTGCAGCCACAGCTGAGCGAGGACAGACGGTGCCCTGTCGGAGAGCGCACTGTGCATCTGATCCTGGCTCCCAGGGCGCCCTCACTAGGACCTGGGTGGCTGAGCAGCCCCTGTTCGGCCCACACCTGGCTGGCGGGTGTCAGGTGCTGGTTCTTGAAAACAGCTCCTCAGGTGTGTTTCCTGTCCTGCCTGTCGCCCAGGTTGGAAACAGCCGTGGCTTGTCCCTTCTCCCTGACACGTAGGCCGCTCCTTCCCTCTGAGCAGGACTGACCTGCCACATGGGCCATGTGCTGTTGAGCTTTGATTTGGTTTTGCTCCGACTGGTAGAAACAAACAGTCTAAACTGCCATTGGAATGTGGATGTCACTAAGTTCCTGGCTTCTGAATCATGGAAAATTCCATTTCTTCACCGGTGTAAAAATAGCAGGAAGATCTGAGATGATTCCTAAGTAGGTGTTCTCAAGACACAGTTCAAGAAAAAGACAGTCCTGCCTTGTAGGAGCAGCGCCTCTTGCTGTGCGCACTGATGGTAATTGCTCTTTATTTACTTCTTCAGCACCGGGGTCGAACCCAGGAATGCTCTACTGCTGAGCTACATCCTGAGCCCTTTGAAACAGCTCTGGGGTTGTTTTGAGACAAGGTCTTGAAGTTGCCCAAGCCGGCCTTGAACTTGTGCTGCTCCCACCCCAGCCTCTAGGAGCTGGGAGTGTAGGCCTGCTCCACCACGCCCATTGGTAGTGCCATTTTAGATTCACACGGTCCTCAGGTGAAATAAGGCCATCTGCCTGGAGCACGGAGGACACCCCCACCAGCCGCCGCCGTGTCCACCCAGCCTCACATGTCGCCAGGGCCCTTAGAGCCCTCAACATCCTGGCCTGTCCGGCTTCTCTTGAAAAAGCCCTCCATGGTTTCCCCCGACACTGAGGCTCCGGCCTGATCCTCCAGGTCACAGCCGGGAAGCCCACCCAGCATCAGCACACACAGGTGTGTCACAGGAGTTCCAGCCGGGCCCGCACGGCCGCTCTCCTGGCACGGAAGGTGACTAGGTGGCTGTGCCGGGACGCCCAGGTCTGGGTTCTCTCTCATCATCCTCCCCATTTCTCCTTCGCCACAGCTTCGCCTTTGGGGACGTGGGTGGCTGGGTCCCCTGAGGAGACAGGCCTCCCTTTCCTGAGAAGACCATCGTTGGACGTGTCAGGCCGTGACATGCACCATGGGGCGTGGCATCTGTCCTGGATTAACAACCATTTCACCTTGCCACAGTGCCGGACGCTGTCCTTCCTTCCCAGTCCTGCATCTGGCGTTTGCAGCCTGCTACCTGTGGAACAGGTGGGCCTCCACGGCCCCCACTCCACCTGATGGAGCACAAAGGCTGTGTCTGCCCGGGCCTGGTACTTGTTCAGCATGTAGGCGTTGCTCAGTACTGAGGGGCCGCGTTGCCCCATCGTGGCCACACTGGAGATTCAGCTACGTGATTCTGCACTGTCTGCACTCCAAGGCTGCCTGGGCTCCAGACCTCGCATCAACAGTCCTGGTTCTGCTTTAAAGACTCTGCTGAGATTCAGATCCGTGACCCTCGTATTACACAGCATGCCCTCCCCCCCCGACCCGCCAAGGGTAGATGATGTTGGTGGAGGAGGGAGGAGAAAGTATACACAGAGCATTACACAAATACTACAAGGCCTAAAACTGCACTGAAATCCAAAAAAAAAAAAGAATCATTTCCAGGTAGATCAGGAAATGGTAAAGATATTGAGCAACAAAGACTGGGAGCTCAGCAACAAGTCCACATTTCTATTCTAGTTTGACCTTCCTGTTTTAGGCAAATGGCTTTATGAATAAGAGGTTGAGTCACAGCTGGTATTTCTGCAAGGTTCTCAGGGTGACAAGGGACGGTCCACAGAAGCAGAAAGAATTTGAAGTTTCTCCCTTTATTGGAACTAAAGAGATAATTCTCATAGGTGGGGACTTTGCCTGGCCTGGGACAGAAATCCACACCTTTGGATCTGACATGTCCTCCATCCTCCCCCCCCACCCCCAAATAAAACCAGCCCCCATCTGAAGTGACCTGGCCAGTCAGTTTCTCGGGGGGGACCTGGGCTCCGAGCTAGTGGTGCAGATGTCACCTTGAGGACCTTGATACACAGATGCTGTCTGCTTCAGGTCAGACTTGATGCTCTGCCTCTTTCCAAGTGCTGTCATTTGTGTCATGGATCTCAAATGCTGTCATTGGTGTCTTGGATGTCCCCAAAAGACCCATGTGTTAAACATTTGGTCCCTAGGTCGTGTGCCTGGGCAGTGGGAGGTGGGACCTGGTGGGGAAGTTGGATTACTGGGGGCATGCCCTGAAGGGGATATTCCAACCCGGCCCCTCCCGTCTCTCTTGCTCCCTGGCTGCCATGAGGTGAGTAATGTCCTGGGTCGTGTGCGCCCACCATGATGTTCTGCCTTACCACAGGCCCCTAGTGAGGCTGAGCTGCCATAGACTGACATTGTGAGCCAAAGTCCACCTTCCTACTTTACGTCGACTGTCTCAGGTATGTGTCACAGTGACAGAAAGCTGACTCCACCACGGTGGGATTGCTGCAGCTCCAACAGGTGGTCGATGTGAAGTGCACTGTGAACATTCACGTAGGACCCGTTCCCGTGCGTGCAGAGCCCTGGGCGCAGCTTCCGTTGTTTTTTACAGAGGAGCGAGTGGAGGTGCGTCCTGCCTCTTCCCTCCCCAGTCCCTGCCTGATCTCCAGCCGTTGCCCCAGCTCCTCTTTAAGCCACTATGTCTGTGCAGGCTGCGCGTGCGGGACTGGGACCCACAGTCGTGGTTTCAGATCCTGCTGCTGCTCCACCGCCTCCGCGGTGGCCTCTGGAGCAGCACGTGGAGCTCTGGGACTCGGGTGGACAGGCAGGTCACCAAGTTTCTCAAGGCCATTTATTCCGTGATTGTTTTGCTGGCTCTTTTCCTGCCATCCAACATCTTGCCTTCCCCTTCTTTCTTTCCTGGGAATTCATCCAGGAGGACTCCAGAACTCACACTTGCAGAGGTGATCTCCCAACTTTCTTGCCCTCTGCCCTTCCTGCTCAGTTCAGCTGGATGGCCCCCTGCCGTGGAGATTTTCCACGAACAGCCATCAGCGGTTATTCATTTTCCTCCGTTTTCTCCTTCCCATGAGTCCATGGTGGAGAAGATGACCAGGCCTGACCTGCTCCTGCCCCACCTACCTCTCGGGAGTCCCCTCTCGCCCTTCCTCCATCTCTCGGCTTCTCCTAACCAACAGCTGCCGTGTCCTCGGGCCTCAGGTCTTCACAAACGCAGTTGTCCCTACTGGGAACGCTCCTTCCTGCTCTGCCTCCTTGACAGACAAATGCCTGCTCATCTTTCCAATCCAGTCTTAAGCGCCCCCTCCTGAGAACTGCCTTCCACCAGGCCTTCTGTGGACCTGCCAGCTGTGCCTTCACCTTGTTCTCTGGGGACATTTCTTCCTGTTCTCTTGGCATTTCTCAGGGCCCAAGATTGGGAGCTCCTTGAGAATAGAGTACCTTGCAGACTCTATCACTAGTGTATCCCTGGGACTGGATAGATGCATGGGTTAAAAGATAAGTAGTGGGCAAATGGATTGATGGATGAGTAGGTAGGTAGGACGGTGGTGGGTAGATGAGGGGGTGGGCAGGTGGATGAGTAGGTGGGTGGGTGGATGGATGGATGGATGAGTGGATGAGTATATGGATGGATAGATGGGTGGATGGATAGATGGACAGGTAGATGGATAGATGGACAGGTGGATGGATGGATGAGTGGATGAGTATATGGATGGGTGATGGGTGGGTGGGTGGATGGATGGATGGATAGACGGGTGGATGGATAGATGGACAGGTGGATGGATGGATGGATGAGGAGGATGCAGTTAACTCACATGCTTGGCCTGTTCTCCAATTTTTAGGCCTAAAGTCCCTGAAGCCATGAGAAAGGAATGCAGCCCGTGGTGCTTAAAAGTCATAGAAAAAATGTCACAGCCATATATGAGCTTCATTTGCTGTGGTTGAAGAAAGGATTTGCGGTGGGAGAGGAGCTGGTGGGCATTTTCGTGTTACTTTTTAGTTGTAAAATACATATAATAAAATTTGCCATCTTAATCATTTTTTAAATGTCCAGTTAAGTGTTGAGTGTACCCCTAATCTCCAGATCTGATTCATGCTGCAGAACTGAAACCTCATGCTCAGTGATTCCCCTCCCCTCCCCTCAGCCGCATTCTGCTCTCTGCCCTTGTGCGTTTGACCGCCCTGGCATGTATATACATAGAATCACACAGTAGTTTTCTTTGTGACTGGCGGTCTCACTTGGCATAATGTCCTCAGGGTTCAATCCCTGTTGTGGCCTGTCAGGATTTTCTCCTTTTTTTCAGGGCTGAATACATCCTGTTGAATGGATAGATCACGTTTGTGGTCCATTCACCACAGGATGCCAGCCATGTTGCTTCTCCCTCTTGGTGTTTTGTTTTCTTTTGTGGGGAGGGGTACTGTGGATTGAATCCACGGCCACTGGACCCCTGAGCCACATCCCCAGTCCTATTTTGTATTTTATTTAGAGTCAGGGTCTCACTGAGTTGCTTAGCGCCTCGCCTTTAGCTGAGGCTGGCTTTGAACTTGCCACCCTCCTGTCTCGGCCTCCGGCTGGGATGATAGGCGTGCCCCACCGCTCCCGGGGCTTCTCCCTCTTGGTTACTGGGAATAGTGCTGTGTGTGCGCAGATGCCTCTTGGGAGCTTGAGACCTAATAGACATACCGAGGGAGGACTATGGGGGACAGCTGGGTTTTAAAGCCACCCAGCGTTACCAGGTCACTGGTTGAGAGGAACCACTGGGACGTTTGCTGGACCCAGCCATGAATATAGTGAATTGTGGGGTTCAGTAGCCAAGCGATGACCAGGAATCCATATGGCCTGAAAATGACCTCCCAACAGCCCTGTGGCCACATGGGATCCCCCCACCCAAACACTTCCTGCCTGGGCTTTGGCTGACCTAGGAAATATTTTTGTCATTCATCCAACTTGATTGGGAGAATATGTAAATTTTTTCTCTCGTGTGTCAATATTTCCCAGGCTGTGAAATGATACCACCCTGATAGCAAAAATATTTTCAGGAAAATAAATATCTGTAATTTTTTTTCTTCTCATTTATTACTGGGGATTGAACCTAGGGGTGCTTAACCACAGAGCCATATCCCCAGCCCATTTTTACTTTTTTTTTTTTTTTTTTTTTTAATTTAGAGACAAAGTCTCATTAAGTTACTTAGGGCCTCACTAAGTTTCTGAGGCTGGCTTTGAACTAGAAATCCTCCTGCCTCGGCCTCCTGAGCTGCTGGGATCACAGGTGTGTGCCTGCCCCCGCCCCCACCTCAGCTACCGAAGAGCTCCATCCTGTTGCACACACACCACAAGTCAGATCCCCGTTATCACGTTCTTGTTTTCGCCTAAGGAATTCCTTGTTGATTTCATATAGTCCCCAGAGTTCAGAAGGGTTTGGGATTTTAAGAAATGGCCCCAAGGGCAGCCACACTGTTGCAGGCATCTCGATGTTTGTAGAGAGCGTAAGGAGGGCAAGACTGGACGGAATGTCCGGTCCCTGCCACCGTTAAACCACGCAACGACCAGACCCTGCCCAGCTATGTCCTGGGGTGAAACACTCTGCCTTCTTGCTTTTCGAAGTAAGGTGAGGAAATAGAGCATATGTGTGGATAAGCAGGTTTCTGTAAATATACTGCAGATTCGGCGGCCTGGCTGGGGTCGGAAGCTGCAAGCTTCCAGTGGAGTCCTGAGACAGTCCTGTCACCATCACAGCGTGATGTGTCACATAGTGCCGGCCATCCTTTGTACCCAATTTGTACCATTTTGTTTTCCATTTTCAGCCTTTTTAGTGTTACAGATTGTGGCCAGAGAGTCTTGCAAAAGGTAAATAAATCAAAACCTTCTGTTTTCCTCTGTGACAGTGAGTCACGACCAAGGGCCCTGCGGGAGAGGGTGGCCGTGGGGGGTAGCAAGGAAATGTTCTTTCACTTCTCCTAAGAAATTGAATTTCATTATTGTATTTTATAAATATTTTCTTCTATGGCTCATAACCTGATTGCAGGCTTGTTGCTGGGGTCTCTCGAGGTAGGAGGGGTGGAGCTGGAGAGGCCTGTTTCTTCTCAGGTGTGCCTGTGGCCCCAAATGGAAACCAATCAAGGTGCGATTTATGTTCATTAAGTGCTTGTCAAAACTGAAAAATTTTCTAATCAACAGCAATCTAGCTGCAGCCCCCTCGATGGCTGGGAGGGCCGTCTCTGCTTGGGCTATTTGCCTGTTACAACTCTAGGCTAAGAATCCGCTGATGATTACATTAGGCTAAGCTGCGAAGTAAATGAACCATGTCTTATTTAGGTGCCACTAGCTTCAGAGTAGTCCTGCCCCGCAGGGCACTTGATAGCGTTTTATGGCTTTAAAATTAGTGTAGCTTCCCATTTGCTGCAGGGTGCTGCCGTGTTATGCCTTTGAACTCAATAAGCAAAGGCAAGGGGCCTTTTGTTTTTCCCCCTTAGTTTTTTCCCTTGCATTTTAGCAATTTTGTTTTGCATCTTTTCCAGACGGCATTTTGCAATAAAAATGTCTGACTACTATACACATGCCTCCCCACAAAAAAAAAAAAAATGGAAGGGAAGAAAAAGTAGGGAATGTCACGTGTTTGCAGGGGAAGGTTTTTTAACCCCCCATGCTACCGAGTGAAGAGTCACTTTGAAAGTCACCCCCAGTGGCTTGCCAGGTCAGAGTTGCTACCTGCAGTTGGGAATAACATCTTCAGCCAAGAAATAGCCACACAAAGTCAGAGGGGAAATATTTCAGTATTTTCATCAGATGAGTAGTGAAAGCTAACACTTATTGAGGACGTGGGCACTATTTTAAACAGTTGGTGTACTATCTCACTCAATCTCACAACAATCCCATGAGGCAGGAACTGTTTCTAAAGACGGAGCCTCAGGGAGACAGAATGGTGGAAGACATGCCCCTGGCGAGCCCCTGAGGAGGAAGTGGAGCTAGGGCCGGGCACCTGGCCCAGACCAGAGGCTGTGCCCTGACCAGGATGCACCCAGCAGAGCCGCAGAAGATGATCTTAGTTACGAAGTCAGAAGATTGTGGTCACTGGTGGTGTGATGTAAGGTGCCGTGAAGTTCCACTGGGGAGACAGTGGCTCCTGGGAAAGCCGTGCCCAGAAGCACATAGGAGGAGGTGACCCCGAAATAGAGCTAGGTGGACTTTTTGAAATCACAGGCACTTTAAAATCTGTGATGGGCTAAGGCTGAAGTGGGAGTTTTTCGTGCTCTGTCATCTTCCAAGTTCATAGTTTGTTTCAGTGCTAGATATTCCAGCAAATTAATCCCAAGAAACCTGAAGTTTTCAAGACATTCAGCCTGGCCAGATATCCATCATGGTGCATGTTTCTGTGTAACTCAGTCACCAAGGTAGGCCAAGGGTCCAGCCACTTCAGGCTGCGGGTAAATACTGAAACCCAGGGCTAGCAAAGGGGCAGGGGCGGCTCCTGGAAGTTCGCCGATCTGGAGTGACTCGTGCCTGCGGTACTGAAGGCCGCCGGCCTCGCACCCGATGCACGTTAGGCTGTTGGAGCAGGCATGCGTTGCAGCTGGGTCATATTCAATTTAACCCCAAATGAGAAAACCTTTCTTGCGGTGTGACGCCGCTGGAGCAGGTCAGTCATGACAGATACAGTCAAGGAGCAGAAGGTGTATCCATCGTTCAGTTTGGGATTTTCTGCTATTTGGATTTATATTATAATAACCTGTCCCCCTGGACGGACCTCTCGGCTGGGCACCAGCAGCCCAGGAATGCAGACGTCTGCCCCAGCCGCGGTGGGGAGCCCGCTGTGATGCAGGACACTTGCACCATGGAGCCCCACGCCGGCTCGCCAGCCTCCCCTCTCACCACGCATGACATCGTTGCTCAGACTCGGTGAAGCACTTAACTAAGAATAAAGTCTCCCCACGGTTGCCTCTGCCTCGGTCACGGGCACGAGACATCTGATGGGCCAGGAGCCTTCCTCCTGCCACGGCCACGGGTCATGCCCACTGGCACTTTGGAGCCTTGGTCTTCACCAGGGCAGTTTTGAAACAGAAGCACTGGAATCCTGTTGGCTGTCTTGGGAAACAGAATTATTTCTCATAGAATTTTGTCACTTTGAAGCCACCTCCTACCCTGCTATTGTGGCCAGGGTCCTTTGGAGAGAAGGAGAAATTGTCTTTTTTGAGTTATGTGATCTGAAAGGATGTGGCCAGAAGATTCTTCCCAGTTTTACAGTATTTTCATGGTATTTTTAGGAGTGTGACTATGTATGAGGCTATTGTTTATTATTCATACGTGTGGGACTGAACATTTGCTTGATCTTTTTGAATGGATGGCACTATATATGTCTTTATGGATTAGTTTCCTTTGAAAATCATGTTAAATGGAGTTTGAGAGCAGCAGTGCTTCTAACAATGGTTTCTCTGACATAGGTTTTTTTTTTTTTTTCTCCCCAGAAGTAAGACTTTAAAAATAGAACTTAATGAACTACTGCCTCCTTTCCCAACCCGGACATTCATGAAGTGTAGTGAAAACAGGAAGAATTGAGTCACTTTTTCTCCTCCAGGAGAAGACAGTGAAATATGGAACACTTGTCCACCATCTGCAATGTCCAGCTCTGGTGCTCTTACCTGGTCACACAGAGCACCCACAGGTTTCCACACGTGTAGACTTGCTGTCCTTAGACCGTCTGGGTTCAGGACCTGCTCTCACCCTTTAAAATCACAGAGGGACTCCAAAGAGCTTTGGGTTATGTGCATTTTGTTTATCGATAGTTACCATGTTAGAAATTAAACTAAGAAAAGTTTCAAATATCAAAAATTCATTTAAAATACTAAACTACCCGTTGCATATTTATGTGACCAATATTCTTATGAAAAAGATGGTTTTCCAAAAACAATCACTAGAAGACTAGTGTTGATTTACATTTTTCAAACCCCTTTGATACCTGGCTTAGGCTGGGAGCTGGATCCTCTGCATCAGTCCCTTGCAATGTGCTGCTTTGGTCCCGTGTGTGAAGCACGTCTGTACTTA